ATCAACACTCATCCAACCACACCACTCAAAAAACCAATAACCATAACAATACATAACATTTCATTCGCTAGAGTCAGCTTTTTTTATTTTTTTTTTCAACCGTGAGACGCGACGTGAGGTGCTTGGTGGTGGTGTGTTTTGCCGTTGTCTCTTTCTGTTTGGCCAGCGCTTTTCCTGTTTTGCGTTTGTTAAAGTCACAAAAACACGGCCCCCCGCCGGTGTCACCCAGGCTGGGGGCACAAAGCCCACCTTTCCCCTCCCCCCCCCCCCCCCCCCCCCTTTGTAGCCACAACACGTTTCATCGCTGTGCCTATCCTCGCCCGTACTTGTACATTTACACTTGTGCTACTTGCAGTGTGTATGTCTCCTTCGTGCTCCTTCAACGGTCTGTGCTTCGGCAGTTCAGCCTTTCAAGTTCTTTGCCTCCTCTCTCCCGACTCCTTTTGGCTGTCAGCACCAGGCGGGCGCTTGATGCGCGCACGTTCTCCTCCTTTGCATTTTTGGCGTTCTGCATCGCTCCGCTTTTCCCTCTCTTTCTTTCTGTGTGTATCCGTCTGGCTGCAGAGCTTATGTCGGATCAGATACCGGGGGTGGGGTCTGTCCTCCGTGTATCCTCGAAAATCCTTACGGGCCTTTCACGAGAGGCATTCGGAGATTTGGCGCATTTGCTGCGTCCCTCTCACCTGCAGCAACTGAGGAGCATTCTGGAAGACAAGGAGAGTAGCCCTAACGATCGGGTAGTCGCTCTAGAGCTGCTGAAGAATGCATGCATTGCAGCCGGCAGGTGAGGCGAGGGGGTGGAAAAGGCCTCGCGATCGTGCAGCGGGCAGAAGACGCCTCGACTCGGGGCAGGCGTTTCTTCTCTCTTTCACAGCACAGCCCTCGGCGACTTGCGTCCCCTTGCAGCCTGCAGACAGGATATGCGCTACATTCCCAATAGCTCCGCTCTCTCCGCAAGATGCGATACATCCTCCGGCTTCAATTTGCGCTGCTCAGGATCCTTCCAGGCTGCCAAGACACGGGAACGGCGATTGTTGTCGGCAAGAAGGGTCAGTTCGTCTTTACAGACGGCGAGGACGAAGAAGCGCTTTCCAAGGGAGCTTACCTCGCATATACGACAGACAACCTTCGCTACAGTCAGGTAGACCCTCGCCACGACCGTGCATGAGCGTCTGCGCGGCCTTAAGCGCAAAAAAGAAGCGTGACAAGCCCTTTGAGCCGGCAACGCAGAGAGAGAGAGGGCAATCGAGGGGTGGCAGCGTTTACTGAGTCGCCTTTGCGGCGTAACCCTATGTTCTTGCGTGTGCCTTGGGTGTGTCTGCCCTTTGGAGGTCTCGTTTTTGCCATCTGGAGTATGCGGATTATGGGGGTTATCTACCTCTGTTTGACTGTGGCTCCGTGTCTGTACTTGCGTGGCTGGATGTTCCGGAGTGTCCCTCTTGGCCCTCCCTCTTTGAGTCTACGCTCCCCCCCATTCGCACAGTATGTGCATGTGTGGCTACCGCTGCCTCCAGATGGCTCCGCTGGACATGTATACAGAGCAGAACACAAAATGCAACCTTCCGGCTCAAATAGACATTTCAGCGGTAGCTGGAAGTTCGTATGAGTTTCTCTTCATCGCAAAAGGCGGTGGCAGCGCCAACAAGACCTTTCTCTTTCAGCAAACCAAGGTACGCCTTCCCACTGAATATCCGGGACCGTTGCGCTCACTCTTTACGGGGGAGGTGCATGCATACACGAACGCTTGCAGCCCGCGTTTGTGTAGCCTTCCTGCATCCCAGATAGAGCTATGGATTAGGGTCGAAAAACCCTCTTGCCTTTTTGTGGTCTCTAGACCTGCATGCAGGTCTATACATGTCCCTGTGCCTGCCGTTGCGTATGTGGGCAGGTGTGTGTGTATGGATGTACATATGAATGTGTGTGGATGTATATTTATTTGTGTATAGATGTACACATATTTGTGTATGGATGTACATATATGTGTGTATGGATGTACATATGTTTGTGTATGGATGTATATAGATGTGTGTATGGATGTGTACGTGTATGTATATGGATGCATTTGTATGTGCATGGATGTACTTGTATGTCTATCAATGTATATATATATATATATATATATATATATATATATATATATTTGTGTATGTATGTGTATATATGTGTGTATGGATGTATACATGCATGTGTATGGATGTATTTGTATGTGTTGTGTGTATAGATGTATATCTATTTGTGTATGGATGTATATATATGTGTGTGTCGATGTATTTGTATGTGTGTAGATATATTTGTCTGTGTATGCATGTATTTGTATGTGTATAGATATATTTGTATGTGTATGCATGTATTTGTATGTGTATAGATGTATATATATTCGTGTATGGATGTATATATATGTGTGTGTCGATATATTGGTATTTGCATAGATATATTTGTATGTGTACGGCTGTATTTGTATGTGTATGGATGTATACATGTATGTATTTGTATGTGTATGGATGTATACATGTGTGTGTACGGATGTATACATGTGTGTGTACGGATGTAGATATGTGTGTGTACGGATGCATATATGTATGTGTATGCACGTATATGTGTGTGTATGGATGGATTTGCATGAGCATAGATCTGCATAGATGTCTGTTGTGCGTGGGCTGCGTGTGTCATCCTAGAGTGTGTTGATGTTCGGGCCCAACTATGAATGCACCTGCTGCGTATGTGTATGTGTGTGTGTAGCTGTGCGTGTGTGTTTATGGATGTGTGGATCTTTGTGCGTGGCAGGGTCTTTTGACCCCAGAGAAGCTTTTGGGCTTTCTAGACGAAAAGATTCGCAGCATCGGCACCTCGGCGTGTCCTCCTTACCATTTGGCCATCGTGATTGGGGGCTTGTCTGCCGAGCAGACGTTGAAGACAGTAAAGCTGGCGTCTTGTCGCTACTTGGATACTCTCCCTACGAGCGGCGACATCCACGGGAGGGCTTTCAGGGATTTGGAGATGGAGAAAACTGTTTTGCAGATGACCAGAGAAATGGGCATTGGTGCTCAATTCGGAGGGAAGTACTTTTGCCACGATGTTCGGGTAGTTCGACTGCCGCGGCACGGGGCATCGCTGCCCGTTGGCATTGGCGTGTCGTGCTCTGCAGATCGGCAAGTACTTGGCCTTATCAATGAAGAGGGAGGTGAGAAGCTAAGCTGTGAACTTGTTGCGCCTAATTTGGTGATGCTTTTTGTCGGGCCTGCTGGTTGCTCGAGTGCCGTGTGCTGGTTTTGCTCCTGCGGGAAAAGGGCAACAGGAAGATGAACGGCGGGCGGGCGCTCGCATGCGCGCTGGCTCAGGGCTTAATGCTCCCCCCTTCGTGTGTCTCTTGTTGAAACCTCGCGCGTGCTTCCCGGCGCAATTTCAAAGGTGCTTGTCACCTTTCATGTAGGTGCATGTGTATGTATTTGTATGTGTGTACATATGTGTGTTTGTGTGTGGACGCATGCATGTATGTATGTATGTTTATATGTATATTAGAATGTATATATATATGCATATGTATGTATGCAGTTATGTATGTTTATATGTATGTATGTTTATATGTGTGGATTAATATGTTTGTATGTGTGGAATTTCGTATTTTTGTATGTATGTATGTATACATGTATGTATATATTTGTATGTATGTTTATATCTATGTTAGTATATATATATATATGTATATATGCATGCATGTATGTTTATACGTATGTATGTACAAGTATGTGTATGCTTCTGGCTGTCTGTTTGCCCCGCTGTCTGCGTCCATAGCGCCTCTGCTGCGTTGTCTTCTGCACTGCCTGTTTGCCGTGTTGCTGTCTTCCTTGTGCCCCTGCGGTACTGCAGTCTTCCTGGAGGAGCTAGAGTCGAACCCCACAAAGTTTCTTCCAACGGTAACAGATGCGGACTTGGGCATATCGGAGCCGGTGCGGCTTAGCCTTGACCAGCCAATGCCCGAGCTGCTCAAGGCCCTGAAGCAGCTGCCATGCAAAACTCGGCTTTCCTTGTCGGGAACGCTGATCGTCGCGAGGGATATAGCTCACGCGAAGCTGCTGGAAAGGCTCAACAAGGAAGGAGACCTCCCCGACTACATTAAACAGCATCCCATTTACTATGCCGGTAGGAAGTTGACCAGTGGGGTGCTCCCCTTTTTTTTTTACCCTCGGTCCTGGCGTCCATGCTATCACCGCGCCTCTGCGCTCCCCTGATAAAGGGATTCCAGCTTCTTTCTTTTTTCATGCGTGCGCGCATATAAGCATGCATACATATGCATATATATATATACATGCGTACATATGTATGCATGCCTATATATATACATACGTGCATATATGTACATGCATATATATATATATATGTATGCATGCATACATATGCATATATATATATATATATGCATACATGCCGGTTCGCTTGCTTGTGCTGCAGGGCCTGCGAAGACGCCTGAAGGCAAGGTGAGCGGCAGCTTCGGCCCGACAACAGCGGGCCGTATGGATCCTTACGTGCCTACTTTCATGAGCAAGGGGGGCTCTATGGTGACGCTCGCGAAGGGAAACAGATCGGCGGCAGTCGCGGAAGCCTGCAAAACGTACGGTGGCGCCTACTTGGGCTCTATAGGAGGCCCCGCTGCCATTCTCGCGGAGAACTGTATCAAGCATGTGGAGGTTCTTGAGTACCCCGAACTTGGCATGGAAGTGAGTGTTTTGAATTAGGAGCTCTCCGCGTGCTTTAGTTTTCAAAAAGAGGCAAATACAGGTCTTGGAAACTAAGCCAAGAAGCGAGGGAAAGGCGCCCGACCCCTACTGGGAAAACGCTTGGGGCCTGCGACTTGGGGTTTGTGCGACTCAGGCTATTTGGAAAATTCGCGTTGAGGATTTCCCGGCTTTCGTTGTCATCGACACCAACGGAAATGATTTTTACAGGTCGTGGATGCCATGAGAGCCAAAATCCGCTCACCTTTTAGATTCGAAACGCCGTACGGCGTTTGTGGCTCTCCCCCCGTGGGTGGCTCTCGCGACGGGTAAGTGGCGCGAACGACACGCTATTTAGGGCTCTTTGGGGCTTTTTTGACTGCCTTGGCCCTCACAACAGCCAAGCGTATGAGCGTTGAAGCTTGGTCGCTGGAGGAACCCGAGGTATTAACTAGGCAGAGCGTCGCGTTCACACAGACACGAAGGGCTATGCCTCCTTAACCAGTAGATATGGCAAACGCGACCCCGGAGGCGCTTCTTGGATGCATCTTGACTGCAGGCAGACCCAGCGTCGGTTGCGGCACGCTGTTTTGGGGTGTTTGTCGGGATAGTTGGCAGTATCCTGGTTAGCAGGGGAGCGAGTAAACACCTGGACAGCAGTCGACCATAGTGTTGGATGCAGTCCACGAGGAGGGTCGGTGCAAAGTGTGCTTGGAGGGCAGCAACAGGCCTTGAAAAGTGTCCCGTTTTCCTCACTTGTTTCAAAGGAATTGCTGCATTTAGTCCAGCATCTCTCCGTCACTGAGCAAAAGTGCGGCAGGAACCAGGGCTAAGTGCAGCGAATTCATGGCCGGTGCAGTGGTTTCCCCTTCCTTGTTGTACCCTGTAGCCACGCCTTTCTCTTACAACGCCTTCATATTATTGGCGCCTATGTGCCGAGGCGTAAGGCGCCTCCCGTTGCAGGCGACCCTACTCGCGTTCTAGAGGAGCTTTGTTTCATGGCTCTCAACTCTTCGCGTAACAATCGGGGGAGCCCCTGGCCATCCCGGAGTTTTCCCCACATTTCCAGGTTCGAATGCATCACAGGAAACCCTATTTATAGCGGGTGGTATGCGGGCGTCGGCGAAGCTTGGTGGCTTTTATACGAAGCCGACCCTCTCTCGGTAGCCTGATGAACAGCGACGCAGAGGTACTCCTTACGACACAGCAGAACATGTTTTCTTGTGTGGGTTAATTTGGCTCCTCGGTTTGGCTGAACAACTGTCTTACCTTCTTCCGCGTAGCGCTAGCTCATTGTGGTAAGAATGAATGGTGTGGAGTGTTTGGGGAGCGCAACAACGCACAGTTTACGTGTCTCGCCCTCCTTCCTCGAGGCAAAGCAATACGCGGCGCCTGCAGGGGAAGGCGAGATTTCTATAGAAGAATATTTAATAACTTTCTGCCAAAAGAGTCTGAAGTTAGGTTTTATTACGCGTACGGGAGACTTGCGTACATGGGGCATTTTACATATCCCTTTCGCTGTCTCTACAAAAGATTTCGTAGCGCAACCAAGTGGTAAAGGTAGAATATGAGGCACGTGCATCGAGTTGGGCAAGAGTTGATGTTTTTGTAGGACACGCGAGGGATTGCTGTAGCTGTTGGTGCTGTCTATCAATATTGCGTCCTGGTAGTCGAAGTCCAAGTTCAAGTGGGAGTGCCGCAGGCAACTAAAAGGCTGGATACCGACGAAGAACAATTACATGTACTCTACAGCCTCTCTAATAATGTGGAAACTGCATGGAAGGGCGCCAGTGGAGTGCTCTTCCGCAACGTGCAAAATGCGCCTCAGCCAATGGCGAGGGACGTGGGCGCGAAGGGGTGTCAAGGGAACCATGCGGAGGGGATGATGGGGTTAGACAAATTTTCGCAGATTCAAGCTTTGGATGTCCTTATGGAGCCACCAAGGCATTTTTTTTTCTGGAACGCAACTGGCCACCATAATCTGGGAAACGGGTCGCCTACCTCAGAGTGCGTGACTCTCCTAGGGACTTGTAGCATCTTACGGGGCCTTTATGCCCCATTCTGGGCAGCACTGTGCAAAAGCACAGGGCACCCTTCTCTGTAAATAGGAATTGACGTTTGGCAGGACGCGCACGCGCTACCTGTTATGCAATCGGGGATCTACAATCGTGTGTAGCTGTGGGCATCGGGCTAACACAGTGACACTACATCCAATGGATGAAGCTGTAATTTACGGACGGTTCAGTAGGAGGAAGGATCTTCTTTGCAATCGTGTGTGTTGCACCATACACGCACCGGTGGCACCCCCACACTGTTACAAGTATGCCACCTTCTATTAGTGAGCAGAAATGGCATCCATGAGAGAAATTCCATGAACCATTCCTTTTAAAGGAATTAAACGGACTAAAAGGACTTACAGTTTCAGAGTATTAGCTGTTTTCCTGTACCTCGCATTACATGCAGCCAGGGCCATTGATGGCTGCGTGCAGAGCACAACCAGGGGAAAGAGGGCTCCCTGAGGCTTGAATGCCCTTAGTGAGGATCTGCTGTTAAATTCTTTGGATTTGCTTCTGATTCTGCCTGCTGGAGCCACAACACGCACCCTTCAAGTGCATCCGCTGGCGCCGTGCTGCCGCTGCCCGAAGCTGCATGGGAAACCGGCACCCTGCCGAAGATACCCCCCAGGCGTCTCTAAACTTTGTCCACCAGCGGCCTTCGCCATCTGGCAGCTCGACATATGCGTGGACCTGACGCGCTTGGCTGCCCTGCGCACCAGCAGTAGCAGCGGCGGTGAGAGGGGTGGGACTATTGGAAGGCATAGACTATCCGGCTGCTTCTGACGGCCTCGTATGACAAAGATTCTTGCCCTCTGCCCACGATTCAGCTAGCCACACGCCACGAGCCATTTGCTGCTCGAGGTGTCCCTTTCGCCGCATGTGGACGCGAGATTTCGCGATACCCGTTTCGGCAAAGTAGACGATGACGCAGGCCCCCGTAGATGGCATTGACTGGCCCGGCCTATACCGCTGGTCTATCAAATATTCTGGTAGGCAGTGAGCAGTGAAACCACCCCCACAGCAGCCGTATGAGCACACATTCAACCACACATACACACTCACACGCACTCATGCGTGCTTGCAGCTGCGGTGGGGGCTACCACCCTTCCACTTGCATATTAAGTCTTACCAGAATATAGATATAAATATAGCCACCCCGCGGCGTTGAGGATCTTTGCCGCTTCGCCCCTCTCGGCGGGTGCAGCTCGCAAGGGGAGAAGGATTTCCCCGGGGAGGGAGGTAGCTACACAGGGGGGGTGAAGGAAGGGCTTTGAAGCAAACCATAAGGGCGGAGGGAGGGGGTGGAGGGGATTTTTGGATCAAGATGCGTCTCCTGTATGTCTTGCAGATGGCACGTCCCCGAATTGCCGGCTAAGTGACGAAGATGTGGCTTTTCTGCGAGGCGCTATTCAGGAGGCGTTTGCGCAGGAGGAAAAGCCTAATGAAGTGACAAAGGAACAAATTGCCGTCATAGAGAAATTCCTCAGCGGCGAAGCTCCGGGTACGACACCCCTGCAGGCAGCCGCACGAAACAGCATTTAGGAGGCATGCGGAACGCAAGGAACGGGCAAAGAAGGATTGACTATTAGAGGGTCTCGTTGCACTCAGCGCATGGCACTTCTTTTTCCCCGGCTGTATACAAGGCGCCATTTTAGAGTTGCTGCTTTCCCTGCACCAGCTCATGCTATCCTTCTGGCGTTCTATATGTATATATACATGCGTATATATGTGTGTTCATGCATGTGTGTATGTAGATATATGTGGATATGTTTTCATGTGTGTATGTATGGATGCCTATATATATATCTATGTAAATATGTATAAATATTTATGTGTCTGTATGTGTGTGTTCGGCATCAAATAGCCCGGGATTGCATTGCAGCCCTCTCAGTGCTACAGCGTCTCACGGACGATTATCCGGAGCTTTCGAGAGATCTTTCCAAGTGGGTGTTTTTAGTGGAGAGGCGTGCGTGTCGCTTGCTGGCGGATGTTGAGGGTGTGAAGATTTAGGTGTGCCCCTCCGGCATGATGCACGAGGCAAACGCGCTCTTGCTCTGCTGCTGCTCCTGTTGCTGCTAGGTCTTTTTGCAGCCGCTCGAGTTGTTGCTGAGTGTGTGCCGTCTACCTGCTGCGCGGGTGTGCAGGCTCCATGCGCTGGAGCCGTTGCTGCATCTCTTGAGCGTGCCTGAAGACACAGCGGCGTCTGGTGCCTCCTTGGCTGCTTCCGAGCAGCAGCAGCAACAGCAGTACTCGCAGGGGAGGCAGCAGCTGCCGCAGGAAGTGCCACAGGAGAGCGAAGCTGCCAAGGCCTTTATCATCCTGGAAAAGGCTCTGGAAATACTCGCGGCTGTCGTGCAAAACAACCCGCAGATACAGCAGGCTGTGGCAGACCTGGGGGTAAGTCGTGATTTGTTGCAGGCAGCCGCACAAAAGTTGTTGTGGAGGCACTCCTGCGTATGCCCACCAGCTGTTGCAGCTGGTACAGCTGCTGCAGCTTGTGGTGCAGTTGGTGATAATAACAGGAGTGATCGGTTTGCAGGGGGCCTGGTGGGGATGAGCATGTTGCGAACGCAAGGCAGCTATTTAGGCTAGCCGTGCCTGCTCTTCTTTGGCGCTGTTTCACAGGGGCTTAAGGTGCTCTTCAACTTGGTAAGAGAGAGTCCACGGAGCAAAGCTCTACGAGTCCGTTCGCTGCAGACGCTTTCGTGTCTTTTGCGGAATCATCGGCCTAGTGAAGAGCTTTTCCTGAGGAGCAGAGGCTTGAATCTCCTGGTTTACGCCATTCGGAGCGACGATCCGAAGGTTCGTCCTCGTTTGCGTGATGTTTTAGAGGTGCTTCGGTGTATTTCCTAGATGATGAGGTGCATGCCTGTCTGTACAGCTGAGCGGGGAGAAAGGGCGGGGGGCAGAGGAAAGGCGTCTGGTGAGAATTGTTGGAACCGATAAACCCTGCGCGACGCCATCTTAGCCAGCTTCCCTCACTCTTTCTTGGCACCACATGTTGCGCTTCTTTGGGTTACTTTTTTGCATAGGGCAGACCCCTCCTGCGCTAGTTTCCTGTGCTGTACACGTATCCCGAAGGGCCTTAAAATACCGTGCGTGCTAGCAAGGTATTTTAAGGTTCCGCTTTTTTTGAGCATAAGGCAACCTCTGGGGAGTGGCTCTCTCCCGCTCAACAGCTTCATTGTTTCGGCGCTTTGTTGTGTGTGTACATATATATGTATGTATATGTGTGCACATATATATATGTATGTATGTGTGCACATATATATATATATGTATGTGTACATATATATATATATATGTATATGTATGTATGTGTGTGTATCTATGTATGTGCATGCTTGTAACTGGCTGCTTCAGTACCAGGAGAAGGCATGCTCTTTGTGCCGGCACTTGGTCGCTGAGGGCCTAGTCAGTCTTGAGTCTGCGCGAGAAACCGGTCTGTTTACCGCTCTGGAGATGCTGCTGCCCTCCCTCCAAGACCTCCTCAGTAGGCTTTCTTTCCTGTTTGTCTTGATTCTATGTTTTGATGAGGAGGCCTTAAAGGGCGGCGGGGGCGCTAGGGAAAAGCACTCAAGAGGCAGCCATGCAAACGCTGCGCAATGAGAAGGAAGCGTGCATGGGGACAGTGAGGACCCTCTTCATGCAATGACACGAATGGTTTAGAGTATTGTGTGTGCTAATAAGACGAGAGAAAGGGAGAGAATGCGCAAGAGCAAGGCACAACACCTAAGATATCTTTTCTTTACACATAGGCACCCGCACAAGCCCACAGCTTCCCGTTTTCGCTGCTGTTTTTCCGCGGCGCTTCCGTGTGATCTCAGACGTCCAATTCGCAGAGACCGCAATGCAGTTGGTTATTAAACTCCTACAGCAGCACAGGTGAAATCCTGGCAGCAGGGGCCCATGTAGGGACGTGGAGCGAGAGAAGGATCCTTTTCATAGATAGATAGACACAGACAGAGAGAGAAAGACAGACAGAGAAAGACAGACAGAGAAAGACAGACAGAGAAGGACAGACAGACAGAGACAGACAGAGACAGACAGAGAGAACGACGCAGACAGATAGACAGAGACAGAGAGAGAGATCTGAGGAATTTGGTAGTCAAATGAATGACTGTTTGTGGATGAGGTAATTTTTTTTCCTAGGGCTCCTCGCAGAGGGTGCTGGCATTTAGTGGCGAAAAAAATTTTGTACATCTGGCGTGCAGCCTTGTTTCGTTATTCAATGCCCTTTCGACTGCGAATCTGTCAATACGCTGCAGAATGGCACTTTGTCGATCCAAGGAGCTCCCGGCGCTTACGGCTTCTTTGAACAACCGAAGGGAGTGGCTAGAATCCGCGCGAAGCCGTCTTAACAGCGAGCTTGAGTTTCTCAATGCGAGGGCAGCTATGAAGCTGCTGACAGCACAGGAGAGTGTGAAGCTGGAGGGCCTCCCGTATGATTTGGAAGCGGTCAACTCCCAGCTGGTACTTGTCGATGAAGCCGTGGCACTCACAAAGTAGGTTATTGGAGCGGCAGCCGCAGCACACCACAAAAGTTTTCTTTAGCTAACTGAAAGGGATTTCAATTTCTTTTTGAACGAAAAGCTGTGCTGCTGGTCGAGCACTGTAGTGGTAGTGGTCTTGGTGCGCTTGATCGCCGGCTTTGCTGTTGTAGACGATTTCGTTGCCATGCGTGGTGGGGGAGCTGCTTCGGCAGTTTCGAAGTTGGGGGGGCGATTACTTCCTTACAGAAGGCTCAGCTGTTGGTACCTGCTGCACGAGCCATTTCCGTGTGTTCGAATTGTGCGTTCACAGCGTGCAGCATCTCATACCAACACAGCAATCTCAACCGAGGCACAAGCAGGTGCAGCACCCAAGCAGAGCGCAGCAACCCCCTGCTCTTCCCTCTGGACCTGCTGAAGCAGGTCTATCGCTGAATCATGGAATACAGCAGCAGTTGCCGCTGCCGCCTCAGTACGCAACGCAGCAGCATGAGCAACAACACTATCCCGAATATCCGCAGCGGCAACATCAGCAGCAGCATCACCCACATCAGGGTTCTCGCGGAAGAGCTCATAGGAGCCACAGTAGATCGCGTGTGCACCACGAGCAACAAGAACAAGAACAACACATGGGAGGCTCTCCCTGGCCGCCTTCAAGCCCTTCAGCATAGGGGCGGCATGCCTGCTGAGCACGGGGTCGTGAATCATCTGCAGCCTTCTTGCCAGCGCACTCACTGTCAGTGTAGGGTTGCAGTTGCCGTGTAGATAGATGATTTTAATATATCGCTTGCAGCAGGGTTTTAACATGCCGTTGCCTTTTCGTGGGTCACCTGCCGCTGTTAGGGAGGCCTTAGCCCGTCGGTAGTCCCCTGGTGGCTCTTCAAAAGCTGCTGCGGCAACAAATATGCAGAACGCAAGAGACAACCACAATACTAGCAGCACCCGCAACTGCTGACGCCACACGAATAGCCACAAAGTGAACACAAAACATCTGTTCCCCCTTAGCCTGTAACGCTGAACTTCGCTTGTTGGGTAATCCATGTCAATCCGTTACATCGTCCATCGGCTCGCTGCATCCCGTCGGTAAGTGATGCCTCTTCTCTTCTTCCCGAGAGTATAGTAACGCCGCTGCAGGAAGTTTAGTCTGGCGCCTAATAATCGCCTTCAAAGCGTTCTTCTAGGAGGATCTGGGAGACTGTAGAAGGAATGCGGGGCACTACTTGAAAAGCCACTGGCCGCATGCATTTTCTCTCGGGCGGTCGGTCTGCTCAATTAGGCTTCCCGCTATCTATCGGTACTGGGGCATGCAGGTCAGGGAAGCGCGCACTAGCATACACGCAGACAGAAGGGGTTCCTTTATTCATAGCGGTGGGAGATGCATAGCGCTGGGAAGACCTGCTATACTGCAGTCAGAAAGCGTGGTAGCCGGGCATTTATCGGCTACAGGCATGTTTTAGACATGGCCTTCGCGTGAGGCAGAGCAGCACGATTACCGACCCTTGATCAGAAGGGCACGCACACTTGCGCGTCTCGCCTAACGCGTTGCTCGCTTGTGGCGACGGCCATTTAAACACCGCGCTCGTTAATGTAGAGAATTTGTAGCCCCCCCCTCCGCTTGAAAAAAAGGCATCCCGGTAAAAGGAAGTCTGCCAGCGCCGCTGCTTACAGGAGGCCTCTATCTAGGAGCGAGGGCAGGCGAGGTTACCAGTAGGAAGGAAGGGAGTGTCTCCATAGACAAGGGTTCTCCCTACAAATGGGTGCCCCTCTCTCTCTCTGTCTCTCTACGGGGGGGCGTGCTTATTGAGGGGCGCGGGAGGAGGGAGGAATGAGGGTCCCTACTAGGGACCTTCGTGGAAGATGTGTGTGTGTGTGTGTGTGTGTGTGTGTGTGTGTGTGTGTGTGTGTGTGTGTGTGTGTGTGTGTGTGTGTGTGTGTGTGTGTGTGTGTGTGTGTGTGTGTGTGTGTGTGTGTGTGTGTGTGTGTG